GGCGCTTCTGCTGAGCCCTGACAGCCCCGAAGAAGCGCCGATCAGCTGCACTGATCCTGGCGCTTCCGCTGAGCCCTGACAGGCCTGCAGCTCCAGCTGTCTCTCAATCAGGCTTGTGCGGTGCTGTCACCGGTTCAGCTCATTCCCCTCCCCTGCTACTTTTCTGCCAGGTGCCAATGTACCACAGGTGGTTCCCCGTGCCACTGGTTGAAAAGCCCTGCTCTACGTGAAGCTGGCCTTGAAAACCACTCAGACGTTACAACTGGTGCTGAATGCACAGTAGCACAGTTAATGTTAGTATTGTAATGAAATATGTGGACGAGGGGAAGAGATGCTGCCTAGGAAACAATCAGACAACAGAAGGGTAAACTCCCAAGGGCTTAACAGTCAGACAAAGAAAGTTAGGAAGGATGCATCATAATGGATCAGAAGTTTAAAAGTGGCAAGGGAAAGTTTGTATCTTCAAATTTGCAAGATTCTGTTCATGTAGCCTTACAATTAAGTAGATTTAGCTCGTCTAATGATGTTTACCCAGAAGGATTAACTCCAATGCTCCATGACCTGCTCTGGTTACTTGTTCCATTCAAGGTGCTGGTGATCATTTATAAAGGCCTTCATGGCATATGGAACATTTTTTTCTGAGGAATTGCTATCTCCCATGGTTTTTATCCATCTGGCAAAGTCAAGCAGAGGTGATGCCTTCTGCAATTACATCCCCCCCCTCCTCCAGACATTCATATGGTTCACACCCAAATGATGTTCCAGAGATCTTTAAAAATATAGCTGTTCTCCCAAGTTTCATGGAGTGCAATTGTGGAGCCCAATTTGTGTTTTATTTTGTGAGATATTGTTATAAAAATGCACCAGTTCCTTTGTACAGCTTTATTGTTTTAAATTGCAACTTGCTCCAGAAGCATCCTGGCATCACGCAGCCTCCAAATCCAATCCAATCTTATTAGGTTTATACAATATTTCTGACAAAATTACACGTCCTAATTTATAAAGCAGCAACAGAAATTAACCACTTGTGCACAGAATCCCAAAACAAAGAAAACGACAGTCAGTTCACCGCAACACCAAATTAGTAAAACTTTCTAAGCTCAGAATAAGTAATAATTATAAATATAAGAATACTCCAAATGGGAAGATGTTCATATAAATAACACACTGATTGGGGTAACAGTTACTCTACACAGTTATTCTATTTTCTGTACATAGTATAGTTTCAATAACAAACTCTTTTGAATTAAGAAACAGCCAAACCCCAATAAAATACGAAAATTCAACAAGATATCAAAACCAAGAAGAAAATATTATCACAGCACTATATAGCCCATTATTTAAAAGGGACAAGGACAAACTGTGGACTCTGAATTAAAGAAATTCCTCTTCAGGTTTATCCACTTTTGTCCAAGGAAAACAAAGAGCATTGAATAAGTTTCTCAAATTAAAAACTATGCACATTTGCTTATTTTATACAGCATTCTTGGGACGTTTTTGTTAAGCCAAAAAGCGGAGACAGGCAGCAAAACTCAATTCTTAACATTTAAAATCATTTTCAGAGTCATCTCTTCGGTTTTTGAAATTGCAGCAAGCATTATTTTCACATCCACAAGATGTAGAAATATATACATTTTTTTAGAAGCTGGATCGTGCATCCAATTGGAACTTATGCTGTTCCAACGGTGTCAGCAAAGAACGGTGAGAAGTTAAAAGAATAGGAATAAAAGGAAATTGGACTTACTTCAGCAAAGTCATTGCACTTCCTCGGAAAGAAGGACGAGGTTTGTGCTTGAAGAATTCCTGCACACTTTTGGCCTCTGGCAGGTAATAAGGTAGTGTCATTGCAGCTTCTACCATAAAAAAAAAGTAGAAGAAGGAAATCAACCCAAGCAAACCATTAATTGCATTACGACCGTATCATAAGATCACTTTTATGTCTCGAGTGTAAATTAATGAGAGAGAAAAATGAATTTCAATAACTGCAGAATCAGGCTGCAGCGTTAACAAAACTGACGAAAGGGAAGGAATACTTTTTGAATGTGCTGTATTATGTGAAGACCTGGCTGCCTTGAGAAGTCCATAATGGTGAGAAAGGTGGAAGGAAAAGAACAACCAGAATCAGTTTACAGAAATGATTCCAGCATGATGGATGCACCATTGGAAGACCAGAAGGAAGGGCCAACGCGGACGTAGATTGGAGAAGGTCTGTGGGATCACAAAGAATCGAGTCCATCTTGATTGAATTTGATGTGTTTTCTTAGGTAAATTACACAAATGCCTTGTCAACAGAGTACTTTTTGGGGGGCACAATTACAGTGCTGTATGAAAATTGCCCCTGGGGTGTCTTAAAACAGGGCTTTTCAACCTTTTCACCTATTGTACCACTTTTAGGATATGGCAACATCCGAGTACCACCAGTCGCCTAGCAAGGTGTCAAAAACTTGATGACCAAAAAAAAAATATGAAAAAAGTGATAAAGTACAGGTAGTCCTCGACTTACAACAGTTCGCTTAGTGACTGTTTGAAGTTACAATGGCACTGAAAAAAGTGCCCCCCGAGCCACAGCCGAGCAAGACACCTGCCTGCCCAACCGGCTGCGCTCTTCCTCCTGTCCGAGGTTTTCATTGTTGTGAGCATTTCTGTTGAGGATTGGCAGTGGGGGTGGGGTGGGGGGTGTTTGGTTTTTATTCCCCCCCGTCTGCTGGGTGGTTGCAGCAGGTTTTGGTCACTTCACATGACCCTGGGACACTGTGACCGTCATAAATATGAATCAGTTGCCAAGCATCTGAATGTAAATCACAAGACCCTGGAATGCTGCAATATTCCAGCTGTCGGCGCTTTTTCAGGGCTCAGCAGAAGCAACAGGATCAGCGCCGAGCTCCAGCTGGAGCCTGTCGCTGATCCTGGCGCTTCCACTGAGCCCTGACAGCCCTGCAGCTCCAGCCATCTCTCGCTCAGGCTTGTGCAGTGCTGCCATTGGTTCAGCTCATTCCCCTCCCACACTACCATTTTTTTAGGATGGTCGCGTACCACCTGGCAGGTGCCAATGTACCACAGGTGGTACCCGTACCACTGGTTGAAAAGCCCTGTCTTAAAAGCATTATAGGGTCTCTTAAAAGCATTATAGGGTCTTTTTTATACCTCTAACAAGTCGCTGACTCTCACTGTGGAGCTGCTTGTTTTCTTCTTTTGTTAACTTGGTTGGTTTCAGCTTCTAAATAAAGAAAGGGAAATCTTGTAATAAATAACTCTTTTAAAAACACATTGTGAAGTATAATTAAAAATCAGACAGGAGCAGATGGAAGATGCATATGCTGCCACATGACTCTCTACTTAAGTTGAACTAAAAACTAGGCAGAAAATTAAGCCATGTATAAGTCAATATGGGGGGGGGGGAAAGAACTTACCCTTTTTCTAGATTCTTTTAAAAGCAGCTCTTCGTTTTCATCCATTACGTGTTTGTAATCCTCACTCTCTAAAAATAGCTGTTTGAAACCAAAAAAAGGGAATGTTAATTTTCATCTCGTGCTTGAGGGACTTGATGGGATTCTGTGTGAGACTATGGACAAAAAAATAAAAATTACTAAAGAACTGGAGAAGATAACAAAATACAAAGACCTACAAATAGAAATAGAAAAACTGTGGCAAAAGCAAGCAAGGGTAGTACCAATAGTAATAGGCGCCTTAGGTGCAACCCCAAAACAACTGGAGCACCACTTAAACACCATCATCGGCATTGACAAATTCGCTATTAGTCAATTGCAAAAGGCGGCCTTACTAGGAACTGCTTCCATTCTGCAACGATATCTGTAATACCATCAAACGTCCACATCTGTCTATCACAGGTCCTTGGTAAATGCCAAATCCAGTCTGAACATCTGGCTGACTGTGCGATGATTAATAATAATAATAATAATAATAATAATAATAATAATAATGATGATGATGATCAGGTCCTTGAAAAGGACTCTGGTGGATAAAAATGCCAAATCGCCTCTAGACATCTGGCTGTGTGATGAACAACAACAACTACAACAACAATAATAACTTTGATGCAACTCACCTTCTGTTTTTTTGTTTTCACTGTCTCTGCAGTGTTTATTGACATTTCCAAATTTTCAACTTGAAAAGAAAAGCCAACCTCTTCCTCCTCCTCCATGCCATTGTCAAAGAGCTCTTTATCTGTCAGCAAACACCCACTGTCATTAAAAGGAAAGTCTTCGGCATTCTCCTAAGAACAATGGAAATAAAATACAAGAATTCCAGTTCAGAGATTCAATTTCATAAATGGGTTTTTTGAACCTGCCCCTGCCCTACATAAAATGAACTGCAACACCTGTCATTCCTAGCTTCACATCTTTCAGATCTGTTGAATTAAAGCAGGCATGTCAAACTGCCGGCCCACGGGCCGGATGCATCATACTAAAACTGCGCCCACCCCATTGCTGGCAATGGGGAAAAAGTCGCGATACGTCATGCGACGTCACGAGTTTGACATGTCTGAATTAAAGTCCTCAAACAGTTATGTTAGAACCCACTACTAGAAACTAGGTCGGGGAAGCCAGCATGACAGAAAATACCACAAACCTTGGTAAAAAGTTACACTGGCACAATGAATCACTCCCCACCTCCCCACCAGATGTTTTGTATAGAGCCAAACAAATTAAACAACCTGGCCACTGATGCTAGGACGCCCCTAGTCCATCCAAATCTCAGTCTCTTTTCAATCATTTATCATGCCCTATGTCACAGAGGATTACAAGCAGGGGCTTTTGTGAGATCAGGCTTTCAAACAATTACATATGCTGAACTTTTTCATATCTGGGAAGACTTGTGTTAAAGTGACTCCTGCTTTTCATGTTTCGATGTGCAGTGGTTGCAGTTGTTACTTTTGTAAACGGAGAGGAGCATCTGCATAAGCAATCAACCCTCTTGCAAAGAATAAAATACGAGTAATTGAGAACAGGGGTCTGCAACCTTGACCACTTTAAGACTTGTGGACTTCAGCTCCCAGAATTCCTCAGCCAGCATAGCTGGGAACTGAAATCCACAAGTCTTAAAATGGTCTAGGTTGGAGATCCCTGATTTAGAACAGGGCTTTTCAACCTTTTCACCCATTGTACCACTTTTAGGATATGGCAAAATCTGAGTACCACCAGTTGCCTAGCAAGGTGTCAAAAACTTGATGACCAAAAAAAAAAAAGGAAAAAAGTGATAAAGTACAGGTAGTCCTCGACTTACAACAGTTCGCTTAATGACTGTTCGAAGTTACAATGGCACTGAAAAAAGTGCCCAAGGCACAGCTGAGCGAGACACCTGCCTGCCCACCTGGCCACGCTCATCCTCCTGTCCGAGGTTTTCATTGTTGTGAGGCATTTCTGTTGAGGATTGGCAGCGGGGGTGGGGTGGGGGGGTTTGGTTTTTATTTCCCCCCGTCTGCTGGGTGGTTGCAGCAGGTTTTGGTCACTTCACATGACCCTGGGACACTGTGACCGTCATAAATATGAATCGGTTGCCAAGCATCTGAATGTAAATCACAAGACCCTGGAGAGGCTGCAACATTCCAGCTGATCGGCGCTTCTTCTGGGCTCAGCGGAAGCGCCAGGATCAGTGCTGCTTTCCAATTGATTGGTGCTTCTTCAGGGCTCAGCAGATCCTGATCCTGGCGCTTCCGCTGAGCCCTGACAGCCCTGCAGCTCCAGCCGTCTCTCGCTCAGGCTTGTGCGGTGCTGCCACCGGTTCAGCTCATTCCCCTCCCCTGCTACCACTTTTCTAGGATGGTCGCGTACCACCTGCCAGGTGCCAATGTACCACAGGTGGTACCCGTACCACCGGTTGAAAAGCCCTGATTTAGAACACAGGCAAAGCATTTCTGTGCAATAAGCAAGACAAATTGTTAAACGGATGTTCATCGTTTGCATCGGTTCGGTCTGGTGTGCTCTGGATCGTGTTGCATGCTACCAAATGTACCCAGTCATTTTCTTACTTCGCATCATACCTTTTGTTCTTGTGGCTTTCCCTTCTTCCTTGCTTGCCTTGTGGTCTTCCTCTTCTTCTCTTCCTTCCTCTTCCGTTTCCTGGAGCTGCTCTTTTCTTTCATTTCTTTCCTGTTCAAGCTCTCCTCTTCTCTCTCAGGAAGTCGAGGCAACAGGTTCTCAGCATCGCTGTCATCGCCATTCAGCCCAGCCTTGCCTTTGTTTCCCTTTACGGCCAGCCAATTATATCTTTCCTTGGTGCTGTCCACGTCGCTGGGCGCAGCCTTCAGGTGCTCGGGGACACCGTCTTCTCCTTCGCTGTTGCTGTCAGCAAGCACCCTCCTGCCTTTGACTCTCTTACGTGTGCAGATCTCCTCCTCTGAATCTGCCCCAAACACACACACGACACAATGCTCGCTTACCACGCAAAGCCATCGTTTGTTTAACCCTAGGTTGCCATTTCACACAGCCCACTAAGCCGCGATAAAGCTGGCGTATTTATTTATTTTATATTTCGCACTTCTCCACTGCCAGTCTCCCTCATGGAGGGGCTCTGGGCACTGTACAATTTAATCAAAGTAATCAAACGTTACAAACTGAACCATTGAAGATTAAAGATTTTTTTAAAAATGTAAAACATTATAAAACTGCAAAAGATGGAGAATTCCAATATGGGGAGGCTAGGAGCGGTTAATACAAGTGTGTGTGTGGCGGGGGGTAGGGAGATGTCATGGAGCCCAGCAGCTCCATAGTTGTGTGGACCCTTGTATCCTCCGTGCAAGGTTACACAGCCAAAGTTCTGACCCCTTTGCGGAAGGCCAAGGGATTGGGGGATTTCCTCACCTCTTGAGGGCAAGAGGTTCCACAAAGCAGGAGCAGCAGCAGAAAAGGCCCTCTTCCTAGATCCCGCCAGTCAAAATTCTTTGACTGGTGGGGTCTGTAGCATACCTTCTTCATAGCCCAGGGGGAGGCAACCTTGGCTCTTTGATGACTCATGGACTTCAACTCCCAGAATTCCTGAGCCAGCCATGCTGAGGGGAAAGGGAGAGATTTCCAAGCTGAGCCATGCTGGCTCAGGAATTCTGGGAGTTGAAGTCCACCAGTCATAAAAGAGCCGAGGTTGCCTACCCCTGTCATAAAGTTATTTTATCTAGAGGTTACAGAAGAATTAACAACTCCCATATAAAAAGAACCACTTAAACTTTGTAAGGTGGCAAAAATACTTGGTGGCCTGCACTGAGAAAAAAATACTTTCTCACACACAAACAAGATTACATAACATTAGATTATCAAACTAAATCGAAACAGTATTCCAGTGCAGCAGTCCCCAACCTTTGCAGCTTGGCGATCTGGCTGCGGGCGAGAGGAGAACTGGGCTGCGTGGGTGGTGAGCCGGCGTGCAGCTTGACTCACGCAAGTGGTGGACCGGTGCGCACGCACATGCAGCTCCACTGCAAGTGGAGCTGCGTGTGCACACCAGCCCACCGCTTGCGCAAGTTGAACTCATGTCGCCTGGTTGCGTATATGCCATGGCCTGATAGCGGCCGTTCTAGTGAAATTGTACCAAAAAGATACACACCTCCTTCGTCAACGGATGCAACTCCCTTGCTTATCTGGGACCGGAAGCTCATTTCACAGCTGCCTTGTCCACTGTCTGAATCACTGTCAGAGGTATCTTGAGTTCTCACATCCTGGGCCTCCAAATGGAACTGCAGTTCAGGAACATTGGTGAGTATGAAAAGATAAGCACGTGTAATATCCAGCATGCACCAGGGATTTAAAAACCAAGGCAAATACACCATTATTCATTTCTTGTCAGATCCAAGCCCACATGATTCCATTGGGCATCACTACTAGGCACTTTCCAAAGGAAGCTACAAGACCAGATTACCCAAGACTAAGTTTGTTATTATCACGTTCATCTCAGATTTCAAATGGACCCCAGAAACATCTGCCTCAGTTATAAAACTGTACTGAAATGTGATTGCAACTCTACACTGCAAAATTCAAAGGCAAGGTTCACATACATCATGCAGAATCTTAATGTCATTTGTTTCTGAGAACCAAATCACTGTAGCTTATTCACTAAATCATTGCTAAATGAAAGGTTTAGTAATAGTTGTAAACTTTAGCAGTTAGCATCTACAGAGCTCATGGCTCATTAACAAAAGGAGAGTCAATTAGCTTTACTTCATGATTTGTGAGAGGGCCATTCAAATATTTTTCATGATATTGTGCAAGAACAAGATTTAGGAACTTGCAGTCATCTAGTGCAGAGGTCCCCAACCTCGGCAACTTTAAGACTTGTGGACTTCAACTCCCAGAATTCAATCCTGGCAGTTGAAGTCCACAAGTCTTAAAGTTGCTGAGGTTGGAGACCCCTGATCTAGTGGCTAGATAAATACTGTCAGTTATATCCATGTGGGACTGTTATTCTGGACCGATAGGTTAAAATTCAGGCTCAGCTATGTATGACTTTGGATCAATCACATTCTTTCATTCCAGCCTACCCAATAAGGTGGTTGTTGTGGGGACAAATAGGAGGAAACACTATGTATACTATCCTGAGTTCCTAAAGATGGAATATAACTCTGCCCAACAAACACACCATCTTGAATATAGAGCCTAATGAACAAATCTCAATACTGTAGCTCAATTACTATCTTTCCCACATACGGTTAATATTGTTGTGTTTATTAGCATTGTATTTCATTCCTTCAATACCAAGCAGATTTCCATAATATTGCTTATATATGCACTTGCTGTAAAAATATGTAACCAACATTATTTTGCATACTTTATCTTACTTGGCCTCTTTACTATCTTTAACAAGATTGATTTCTGGGACCTAAACGAAGCCATCACGATTCCAGAATTTCCAGTCCCTGCTATCTATCAGAGGGACCATTCTCACGGATAGCACTGGTTAATACTTTCTTCAACCCTGATTCATTTACTAAGTTTTTGTTGTTGTTAGTTGCGAAGTCGTGTCCGACCCATCGCGACCCCATGGACAACGTTCCTCCAGGCCTTCCTGTCCTCTACCACCTTCTGGAGTCCATTTAAGCTCAAGCCTCCTGCTTCAGTGACTCCATCCAGCCACCTCCTTCTCTGTCGTCCCATTCTTCTATTGCCCTCCATCTTTCCCAGCATTAGGCTCTTCTCCAGTGAGTCCTTCCTTCTCATTAGGTGGCCAAAGTACTTGAGTCTCAACTTCAGGATCTGGCCTTCTAAAGAGCAGTCGGGGTTGATCTCCTGTAGGACTGACCGGTTTGATAGCCTTGCAGTCCAGGAGACTCGCAGGAGTCTTCTCCAGCACCAGAATTCAAAGGCCTCCATTCTTTGGTGCTCAGCCTTTCTTATGGTCCTTAGTTAGTCTTAGTTAGTCTTTGCAGCTAGGTTGCCTAAACCTGCCTTCCAATTCCCCAATGCTAATTCACTCCTCCTGCTAAGCCAACATTTCCCCGGTTTTGTACAGTATCACTTGTGAACCTGGGTCCTGAAAACATGCCTTTTTTCCAACACGTAAACATACACGCACCTTCACCCCCGTTTCCTCCAACCCGACCAAGTTTATTGCATCGGAACTCAAAAAATCCAAAAGCCTGGATGGCATTGCCGAGTTGGGGCTCTGCTGCCGCCTAGGGGCCGTCTGGGGGGCTGCCCTAATCGCTGTCCCCATCTATTACCTGGCTACACCAAGGATGCCCAGCATACCCGTGGCATGCCGGGATATCGAAGCGCAGCCGCAGTGCACGCCGGGAGCCGTAGTCCCGCGTCTCTGAAGAGCCTACGAGGGAAGGCGCCCGACAGCCGAAGCAGCTTCTCCTCCATAGCTCGTCCCAGCCCCGCACCTGACACAGGCCAGACTCACCTCTCCCTCCGCCGCCGCCGCCGCCGCCGTCATGATACCCGCCTCCCGCGTCCGCTGAGAGGAGCGACCGGACTCCGGAAAGCGCCAAAAGCTCCGGCAGAGAGGCCGCGTTTGAGTCTTCGCGCTCTTGCTCGGCGCTTGGCTCCGCCCCTCCGCCCCAGCCAGTCACAGCTGGCCTCCAGCCTTATGGAGCCGCCCCTTTTAGTTCCCATTGGTCAACAGCTTGAGTCGGCGATTTTCCGGACCAATGGTCAAACCGTGTTTCCTATACGGGACCGCCCTCGTGGAGGAATTTCTTGGCTTTCGTAGGCCTACAGAAGTACAATGAAGGCGTCTTTTTAAAAATGTTTTTAGGCATAAGAAAAACCTTTAACGTTTTTTCTCCTCTTGATAAAAGAACTATACCAAGGGTAGGCAACCTTGGCTCTTTTATGACTCGTGGACTTCAACTCCCAGAATTCCTGAGCCAGCACGGCTGGCTCAGGAATTCTGGGAATTGAAGTCCACGAATCATAAAAGAGCCAAGGTTGCCTATCCCTGAACTATACTATGTTAAGCACGGCCATTGTGCCACTGTATCCCAGGGGAGATGGAAAAGTAACGCAAAATCCGTATTTTTCCCCTTCGAAAGATTATGGCAATTCTATAGGGCAGTGCTTTTTAACCTTGGAAAGTGCAGGGTGTATGGACCTCAATTCCCAAAATTCCGCAGCATGCCGGAGCTGGCTGGCTGGGGAGTTCTGGGAGGTGAAATCCACATATCTCAAGCTATTCTTAGATCTGAGTTGGTGGTCTTGGGGCGTATGCCTATATATATGAAAGTCAATCTGAGTGTCCAGCCTGATTGTTATCTCAATATGTAGAATGGAATAGGAGACAAAAGAAGGAGCAAAATTTGTCCTTTTCTCTGTCTTGCTTTGACGGGAATGTGGTACAAAAAACAAATTGAAACAAATTGAAGGTTTTAATTCTCTCCTGGGCAAGAAGCTCTACTGCGTTACAAATAACAGAACACCAATATATTGTCTTTTTTAAATTATATTTTGTGGCACATATTATAATAGCCTACTTCATTTCTGCAAGAGTCTCCATGTCATGCTGAGCCAAAAATAAACAATTCACATTCGTTGTGTCTCATTCAAGAGTTCAAGGTGGTGTATACTGTATAGCATTTAATGCTGTTTCCCCAAAACAATTGTGAGGAAGGCTGACTTGAGAAAGTGGAGGATGGGCTGGAACTTCTCTTATTGCTCCTAATTCAGCACCTCATTCCTACACCACACATTTGACTTGGCACTGTTCATACAACTGTTCATTTAGTGATCGTTCGAAGTTACAACAGCACTGAAAAAAATAACCGGTCCTTGTACTTATGACTGTCATAGCATCCCCAGTCATGTGATCAAAATTCAGGGGCTTGGCCACCAACATGTATTGCAGCATCCCAGGGTTGCATGATCACCATTTGCAATCTTCACAGCCAGTTTTTTTAATAAGCAAAGCCAATGGGGGAAACCACATTTACTTAATGACTATGTGGTTCACTTAACTGCAGTGATTCACTTAATTAAGGCAAAAAATGTTGTAAAATTGGAATACTGCATCCAGTTTTGGTCACCACGATGTAAAAAAGATGCAGAGAAGAGCAACAAAGATGATTAGGGGACTAGAGGCTAAAATATATAGGGAACGGTTGCTGGAACTGGGTATGTCTAGTTTAATGAAGAGAAGGTTGAGGGGGGACATGATAGCAGTGTTCCAATATCTCAGAGGCTGCCACAAAGAAGAGGGAGTCAAGCTATTCTCCAAGGTGCCTGAAGGCAGGACGAGAAGCAACGGATGGAAACTGATCAAGGAGAGAAGCAACCTGGAACTAAGGAGAAACTTCCTGACAGAACAATTAACCAGTGGAACAACCTGCCTCCAGAAGTGGTGAATGCTCCAATACTGGAAGTTTTTAAGAAGAGACTGGTGTAGGGTTCCTGCCTGAGCAGGGGTTGGACTCGATGACCTCCAAGGTCCCTTCCAACTTTTATTATTATTATTATTATTATTATTATTATTATTATTATTATTATTATTATTATTATTATTATTATTATTATATTATTATTATTATTGTTATATTATTATTATTATTATTATTATTATTATTATTACCATCTTGCTTAAGAAAGGAAATTCTGATCCCAATTGTGATCAAAAGCAGAGGTCTACCTGTGTATGATCAAGACTGTCACAATCATTAAGCTTCAATCTATCCTACTTGCTGCCAGGCTATCAAAGAAGATGAAGTATTTCATATAATCCAGAGCTATTTGGAATAAATGATGATAAATAGCTCCATTCACTTTAATGGAATCCAATATCCAGAAAGCACAATTGTGATTGGGCAAAGATCCTGGCATGAGAAAAAAGGAGAATTCCCAAGTGCCAGGAAGAATATTTCTGGGACTCCTCCCTGTTTTAATTTCAGTGATTGCTCTACTTTGTGTGTCAAAAACTTTTGGCGTGTAAAAGCATCCACAGGATTAGTAATCATTCATCAAAAACATTCCAAAAGCTTAAAGTTAAATATGTAATAGTGGGCTAGAGTTTTGTATAATTATTGTTAGGATTGTTTTGTGTAGTTTGACATCAAAAGAAAAGAGATCTTACGTTGCACTGCACACCTTGCAAATACTAGGTGCCGTTGTTTATTAAATCTCAAGCCTTATTTGATGATCCAAGGGTGAATTGTCAAGAGAGGGAAAACTATAAAACGTTCGGCAAGGGTAAGCTAGGATGGACCTTATAAGAATTGGACCCCCTCGTGGAGATATAAAAACTAGGCAATACTCCAATCTAGGCAAAGGTGCTCCAGCTCTGAATACAGCTAGTCCTCCATTTACAATCATCCATTTAGTAACTTCAAAGTTACAACTGCAGTGGAAAAAGTGACTTACAACTGGTCCTCGCACTTATGACCATTGCAGGATCCTCTGGCTCGGTCAAAATTTGAGCGCTTGGCAACCAGCATATATTTACAACAGTTTGCGACCTTCCCAGCCAGCTTCCAGCAAGCAAAGTCAATGGGAGAAACTGGATTCGCTTAATAACCACATGATTCACTTAAGATTTGCAGATGACTGGGGCTTTTCAAGAAAAGATCGGACAATCATTTGTCTGGGACAGGGGTAGGCAACCTTGGCTCTTTTATGACTCGTGGACTTCAACTCTCAGAATTCCTGAGCCAGCATGGGGCTCAGGAATTCTGGGAGTTGAAATCCACGAGTCATAAAAGACCCATGGTTGCCTACCCCTGGTCTGGGATGATGTAAGGAACCCTGCCTTGGGCAGGGAGTTGGACTAGAAGACCTTCAAGGTCCCTAACAACCCTACGATTATATGAAAAACAAGATAAAACATTCTAAACATCAAAACAATAGTTTAAACCAGGGGTCTTCAAACTTGGCCCTTTTATGACTCGTGGACTTCAACTCCCAGAATTCCTGAGTCAGCATGGCTGGTTCAGGAATTCTGGGAGTTGAAGTCCACAAGTCACAAAAGGGCCAAGTTTGAAGACCCCTGGTTTACACTATAATGGAATCAAAAGGGCCAAACATGGGAGGCAAGGGAGCAAGACGCACAAGGGAAGGAGGTGGGGAATTCTGGAAGTTGAAGTCCACCTACCTCGGCTAGGGAATTCTGGGAACCAAAATCCACCCATCTTAAAATTGCCAAGGTTATGAAACACTGGCCTAAGTGAGGGGTTGGCTCTTTTATGACTCGTGGACTTCAACTCCCAGAATTCCTGAGTCAGCATGGCTGGTTCAGGAATTCTGGGTAATGAAGTCCACAAGTCATAAAAGAGCCAAGGTTGCCTACCCCTGGCCTAAGTCCATCCAGAAACCTTTCAGTTTAGCCTTGCCGGGATGGGTGAGCCCTTCACGGGGCCGCCGGTTTTTCTGCTCGGGAGGGACCATCGCTTCTGTTGGGGGGGGGAGAAAGAAAGGAAGGAAGGAAGGAAGAGAGGAATAAAACAAGGCGGCGCAAGGCGTCCATGGGGAAGCGCGCGCACCCCTGCACACAACACCCCCCCCCCGCGGCCGAGACCAAGCGGCCGGCGCGTCCCCGAGGCGCGCGCCCGTGGCCCGCTCGCCTGCCTCTCCTTTTCCTCGTCACGAGGGGGCCGAAGAGGGCTGAGGAGGAGGAGGAGGAGAAAGGGGCGGGGCTGACGCGCGCCCGAGGTGACAGCCTACGTCGAGCTTGCCTTGCGTCCGAGCGCGAGCGCGCGCACGCGCGCGCTGGTGCGGGGAGAGGTGAAGGGGGTGGGGGGGGTGTCGCGAGGTTAAGCAGGCGCATGCGCGCGCAGGCGCAGCTGCAGGGGGCCGAGCTCGAGGCGGCTGTGGCGGGGTCCCCCGCGCTGAGGCGACGCGCATTGGGAGTTTGGCTCCGGCTCGGCCGCCTCTTCAGCCCCGCGCCGGCCTCTTCCTCGCTCGCTCGCTCGCTCCCGGGGCGGAGGCGCGCGCATGCAGGCGAGCGTGTGAGGCGGACGGAGGAAGAGGAGGAGGAGGAGGAGGAAGAGGAGCAGCCGCCGCCGCCGCCTCAGCAGCAGCAGCAATCGCCGCCGACGGTCCTGTTGGGATCGAGCGACGGAGCGCGGCCGGGCGGCCGGGCGGGCTGGTTCCGCCGCGGCCGCGAGTTGTTTGTGACGCCGGGACGCTCCTCTCCGGCCCCGCTTCCCTCACTGCCGACCCTCCCCCCGAAGCCAATATTCCCGAAATCAAGAGATACGCGGCGGCGGCGGCTGGAGCCGCGGGGCCCGTGGCGGCGGCGGCGGCGGCGGCCGGGGGGGACCGCGGCGAGGCCGCCGCCGCCGCCGCCATGGAGGCGCTGGGACCAGGTGAGAGGCCTGCAGGTGTGTTTGTGTGTGGTTGGGGGGGGCAGGCTTCTCGGGCGAGGGGCCGAGGCGGGGGAGGGGGCTCCCGAGATGGCCCCTTTTCTCTGCCTCTTCTTTGGGGTGGGGCTCGGGCTTCCTTCCCGTTGAGCCCTGGAGGAAGAAAGGCGCGTTTCCCTCCCCTCCCCTCCCCTTCGGGGGAAAAGGAGAAGGAAAACCCGAAAGCAGGTGCTCAGGGCTCCCCCCCCTCCTCCCGGGCACGTTGGCCCTGCTCTCCCCGAGGCCATGTGGCCCTCCCTACAAAGGAGCTGCCGTCGGTTGCTGCCTGCCGTGCAGCTGAACGCTGGCCAGTGTTTGTAAACACTGCAGCACGTGATGTCTTTGGGAGCTGCTTAAAATCCTGCTGGCATCCTTGGAAGTTGGAGCACCGCTTTCCCCAGCCTGCTGCCCTTTAAAAACTTTTAAGACCACAACAGCTATCATTTGTGGTCCAGGCGGGCGAGAGCCCCGTAATTTAGTGTATCCAGAGTGGGTGATGTGGTGATTTCCAGTGACTCTTCACCGCCATGTGAATGGAGTGGACAAAGGAAACGTTTGTTCACTTATCTGGTTACTTCGTGGCTTGATTGAAACCTGGTTTTAAAAAAACACAGTTGCCAGGGTTTGCACAAGAGGCTAAACTGTAAGTCGTGAAGCTTTATGGACCTGCTTGCTAAGACCAAGGCAGACAAACCACTTAATAGCCTAGGACAGAGGTAGGCAACCCTGGCTCTTTTATGACTTATGGACTTCAACTCCCAGAATTCCTGAGACAGCCATGCTGGCTCAGGAATTCTGGGAGTTGAAGTCCATGAGTCATAAAAGAGCCAAGGTTGCCTACCCCTGGCCTAGGATGATGTGTGAACTAGGTCTCTGGCTGGATTATTTAGAGAGGGGGGGGGGGAATAGCACAGTGCTATACCTAACTTTTGTAGAAACAGGTTGCCTTGTGCTTTAGTGATTTTCTAATCTGCTTTTTGTTACCTTTAGGGATTTTTAATGGAACGCCAAGAAAAAAGGAACACGTTTTGAGAATGTAGAGGCTTAGTTTATTTTGTTCGGTTATTTATGCTTTAACTTTTGGCCCTATTTTCCAAGAGATAACGTTTCAAATAGTATTGAAGGGGATATCATATCTTTGGTTCTGCCTGTATTGTAATACTTATTAAAAGTCAACTAAAAAGTAAAAGTGTCCACAAATTCCAGAAAATGCTGATTCGTGGTTACAATAAGAAGCTGCAGAAGTTTATGGTAAGAGCGCAGCAGTTTTTAGATGTAACACTTATTGTGACTCTAAGGTTAGGTACAATAAGTTCAAATATATGTGTGTAGAATCAATTACATTGGTGGTGGTACTTGTGTACAACATGCTAATCATTAAATATAACAAATCACACTGGCTTGTACCCATTTCGTTTGGCTTTTAGCCATTGTTATTTTTTAGCATGTCACAAGCAGATTCTGGGTTCTAATGTCTAGGGTTATCATCTCATTCTGAGATGGTTTTGCTTGAATAAATGCTCAGATTCTGACCTTAATATCTGTAATTTTTATAAAGGATCATTGAGAGTAAGTTATAAATTTTTGTTTCTTGCTCCTGGTCAGAGCAGGAATTAGAGCTTCTGTGGTAACTAGAGAATATTTGGAGATAACCTTTTTATAGCTGATCCTTTTTCTTCTTTTCATTCTCATCCCATCTCCCTTGAAACTCTTGAAGCTCTCACACGATCATTCTACTAACTAATGTATTTGAGATCTAAATCTTGAGCAAAGACTAGAGGGTGTGGCTCTGGCAGTGAAAGGTAGGGAGTGGTGGTCTATGTGCGTTTCTGATTTGGGAGTGCCACGATTCTTTAAAGAAGAAAGACAGCAGTTGCAAAAGCCCTTCTGTTCTTATGCCAGACTTCGTAGCCTAACTAGGGTTCTGCAGCTCTTCCAACTATTCCTTTTAAATGCCAGGTAGATTTCTGGTTATTATTCTCGGTTCGATCTTTTTAGAAATGTGATAGATGAAGTGAAAACGTATGTTTGATACGTTTGGAATAATACCCAGCCATTTGGGAGCTGATTCCTATTACTACATCACTGATGACAGTGGTATTTTGACCAGTCCCAAAAAACCTAAGCAGAATCAAACCTGGTTGGTATTTGGTTGAGGGGATTGCCAAGAAAATTGGGAGTTGTAGAGTGTGAAATTCTTTTTTAAAAAAAACAACTCCCAAGAAGACAGTGACAAACTGCTTTCTTATTATTAAATCGTGAAGCATCCATGTAGACCAGACATGTCAAACTCGCGACGTCACGTGATGTCGTGCAACGTATCGGAGCTTTTTCGCCATTGCCGGCAATGGGGTGGGCATGGTTTCCCCATGACGTGTCTGGCCCGTGGGCCAGCAGTTTGACACCCTTGATGTAAACCCTAGCTTGATTTGAAGATGACTTTACTTACAGGAATAAATAGCAATACACTTGCCTTTACCTTTTTCCAAGAAATAGTTTTCCTTAAGTATTATATTTATATTTTGAATTGAAATTATCCCTAGTGCTAATAGTTTCCCTAGCTAGTGGTGGAAATAGTTTTGATTGTGATATTTCTGAAAAATTTCAATTTTTATGTCAAAGCTTCTCAATAGACATGGAAATTACTTTTGCAGTGAATGGCAAGAGTATATGCTGCCAGCATGGTCTCCCAAAGCATCAAGCATCATGCACTGCCCAGCTAAAGCAGCAGTAATAAAGACAGATGATCAGTGGCAAAGGCATAATTTTCTACTGTGTGGGAAGGAGTAATGGTAAATGGCTCCTGTATTTTACCAAGAAAACAGAATTCTTTAAAACGATTCAGTTGTAAATACTATTTTAGTAGTTTTGGACACAAATATTGCAGCGCATTAGCTGCAGCCTCCACATGGGTTTTATTGCAAATGTATTAAATATGTTTGAGTTTGAAGAGGTTTCTGATAAGGTTTGTTTGACAGATTCGGAACTCACTGAGCAGCAAGAAAAATTACTACATATAACAGACATATTTTTTTATAAGGAAACAAAGGGAACAATTACTTGTTCAGCAACTGAACAAAATTATACTTATGACATGTTCCTCAAAGTTCTGGCCATCAGAGCATCCCCATGATCATGTGATCACAAGCCAGGCATTCAGTGACCAGCTCACAGTCATGATGTTGCAGTGTCCTGCAATCACATCATCACAATTTTCAGCTGTCACTACCAGCTTCCAACAAGCAAAGTCAATAGGGATATCAGCGGGAGATCACAGTGATCCTACGATGTTGCAGTATTCACTTAATGACAGCAACTGGAAATGCTGTTGTTAAACAATCTGAACCCACGACGTCATGCTTTATGTGGTGGAAATTTCAGTCCTAATTGCCATTGTTAACTAAGGGCTACCTGTATTTGACAAAATTTGTTCCAGGAATGGCACCTCTATTGTGACAATCGTTACAGGATATGGATGCCAATATATTAAGATACATATTAAGAATGGAAAGAGTTGATAAGTGTACCTGTGTGAAAATATTATGATTTGACAAAACCTGTAGCAGTGTGAGTGGGTACTAGAGCATCTAGTTTAGGTGTGGTATTGCTACAAGAAAGATTTTGTGTGACGTGCATTTAAAGCGAGGAATAAAACTTGGCAAAATTAGCAATTACTGGTTACTAATCTTGGAAAAATATAAATTAGGGGTAGTTTAAAGCAGCGGTCTTTAACCTTTCTGGGTTTGCGGACTAGCATGGGGGGATTTTTTTTAATGCATTATTTTAGTTTTATATAATTATTGTGAATTGCCCAGAATTGTGGTTCTAATATGGGTGGATGGGCAAATCTTTTAAATAAATTTTGCAATTGTAAGTCTCTTCAACACATGGAATTTTTGCAGAGATCATAACAGACAATAGATCTCAATTTAATTTTTAAGAAGAGATAGGACAACCATTTGTCTGAAATGGTATAGGGTTTCCTGCCTAAGCCCAGGCAGATTCTATTTATTTTATTCCATTCCACTCTACTCTACTCTATTCTATATTCCATTCCATTCCATTCTATATTCCATTCCGATTTAATGGAATTCAGACTGTTTGCCAAAGATTAGGATTTTGTGCATTCTATTTCCAGTCTCTATCAAATAGGATGGTAGAAAGGACTATAGAGATTGTGAAGAGAATGTTAGAAAAATCAAAGCTGGACAGTTCTGAATTTTATTCGGATATTGTGGCTTAAAGAGACAACCATTAAACTCTTAGATCTATGCAGATATTGAAGGTACAGTTTATTAAAGAAGGTGAAGGGGTTGAGGAAAGACCGAAGATCTTATGCTATTTCAGCTGAGATGCAGAAGATAAAGAAGCAACTAGAGATACCATTGCAGAAAAAAACCAACGGTAGAGTTTCAAAAAAATATATAGCTACTAATGATATCAAAGGGTAATGTTCAGTAACCAGTGTGGTATGGGAATTTTTTTATCTTGGGGAATAAAAGATGGGAGATGCTAGGAATAAGTAATCTCTATTATTTGTAAGTAGAATATAATGAGTCAACAAAAGGAGCTAGCTATATGTATATCAATGGGCTGTCTTGTAACCTGTAAACTATGAGTCAACTTCATCTGTATATTAGATTTGTCTGTCTTAATATTTTCTATGTTGTAACCAACCTAATAGGATGTATTGAAGCTTCTTGCTGGGTATGTAAATGCAAACTACTTCGAAATGGGATATGAGCTAAATCTGATTTAGAATTGTTCAAATGTTTGTAACACTACAATTTTAGTATAGGCTCACCTATCAAACATGCTTCCATTTTTCCAGGGCCACCAGCCACTCTTTTCCAGCCGCCGCGTCGGCCTGGCCTGGGAACAGTTGGAAAACCAATTCGCCTCTTAGCCAATCATTTCCAAGTACAGATTCCTAAAATTGATGTTTATCATTATGACGTGGATATCAAACCAGAAAAACGTCCCCGGAGAGTGAATAGGTAAGATGACTTTTATAGTTTCAAGTCTAATTTTAATGGTTCTCTGACTGCTGACCATTGGCAAGTTCTAAATAAAATAATACATTGGGCATACGTGGAACATTCCTCAGCAAAAGAACTGATGACAACCTCATAAGGTAGAGACCATTTTGCATTTGAACTAATTCATATTTTGAAAATCAAATCAAGAACCTTAAGCTCTTATACCATTCAATTGTTTTCATTTCAATTTATACCACTTTCCAGGGAGGTTGTGGATACTATGGTGAGACACTTCAAGATGCAAATATTTGGGGATCGACAGCCTGGCTATGATGGCAAAAGAAATATGTATACTGCGCATCCTTTGCCTATTGGAAGAGACAGGGTAAGTCATTTCAGTAATAGCCAGAGTTTTACTTAGTGATTCAATGCCATCTTTCTCAAGAATGTCCTACTTCATTCAAATAATGAAGCTATCAAAATAGAAGTTTTAGATTTGAAAAAGTCATCGCTAAGCTGCAATTCCCAGCTTTTGCAGAAAGCATACCCAATGCTAAGAGAAACTGAGAATTGTACATTTGCCACACCTGGAGGGTCAGTGATATCCTGACTTTGTTTTAAAGCAGTGGTTCTCAACCTGTGGGTCGGGACCCCATTTGGGGTCGATCGACCATTTCACGGGGGTCGCCAAGCAAGGCTGTCCGCCATTTTTTCCCCCCTTTTCCGGCGGGTGCCTTACCTCCCTTGAGCTGGGCCAGCTGGTGGTTGGCCTGCTCCGTCTCTGCCGCTTGCCAGCTAGCCTTGGCCGGCGCAGGGGGCGGAATCACGCATGCGCGGCGCTCCCGGGCAGGGAAAGTCCTCGACTTACGACCGGCTGGGTAGTCCTCGACTTACGACCGGTTTAGTCCTCGACTTACGACCGGGTTAGTCCTCGATTTACGACCGGTTGGGGTCGCGGCATTAAAAAGGTTGAGAACCACTGTTTTAAAGCAATGCCATGTAAAGAATAGCAATGTTGGGAAATGCCCAGCTGGGCAGAGGACTTAAGTAGGGAATAAGCCTTGAATCATTGGTCAGCTTCAAGAGAACCATGTCTCCCCCAACTCCATAGAACCTTATCTATCTGCTGTCTATAATAAAATAGCTAGCTTGAAATATGCATGTGTGGAACTGGTTGCTGGCACCTGACAAACAAGGATAAACTGGATAAACAAGGATAAACTGGATAGGTTGCTTTGAGCCTATTAAATAGCATTCAGTATTTTTTGCTTTTTCATGCCCGAATTGCAGTGTCCTACATTAAATGAAGCATATGGACTTGTTTTAAAGTGCACGAGAACTATCTTTGAACTATAGCTTATTTTTATTCTAGGGAGGAATGATCTGGGACTTTGGGTGGGTATCTGCTGTAGCCAAATAATAATGAGATTAAACTGAATTCAGTCCAGGATCAGCGGAAAACAAGTTGAGCTCATGAAGAGTTTCAATTTCAACAGATGATCTGTACAGTTAAGAAAGATTTGCATAGTTCATCCTCACTGTTGTGTCTTCAGGTGGATATGGAGGTCACACTCCCGGGCGAAGGGAAGGACCAGACCTTTAAAGTGTCAGTTCAGTGGGTGTCTGTAGTCAGCCTTCAGATGCTCCTGGAAGCTTTGGCAGGGCATCTGAACGAAGTCCCAGAAGACTCTGTGCAGGCATTAGATGTTATCACACGGCATCTTCCCTCTATGAGGTGAGTATTTTTCATTCATTTTTCTTGGGCTGTAATTTTCTTAGCAGATGCTGGTTGAATCTTTTGTGCATATTGTGGCCCATTGTAATTCTTGTGGTATTCCTCCTTTCAGAACTGAACTGTAAGCGCAAGGAATATACATTTTTTCTAAGGATACATTCATTTTCTGCTCTCATTAAATGTTTTTGTTTTTCTCATCTATTTTTCACTTGCAATATAGGAAAGGTATGGAACAGCAGTCACTTTTTAAAATAACATTTGAATAAAGGGTCAAATTAACTTTCTAAATACAGTTTAAATAAATTGTAACTATGTCTCTTTTCAGTTACAGTTTAGAGTATTCTAACTCTTGCAGCAAGCAAGACAATTTATATTTTACAAACTAACTTTTTTGTTTCGTGCCTTCAAGTCAGTATTGACTCCCGGTGACTCCCTTCAGTTTTCTGGGCAAGATTTCGGAAATGATTTGCCTTTGCTTTCTTCCTAGCACTGAGAATGATTGGTCCAAAGCTACTGATGCTTGCCTTCCATGGCAATGAATATATATTCCAAAATTTATTGAAGGATTTCCTTAGTCTTCCTTAGTGACTTTTGCTTAGATTATTTTACACACACCAGAAATCCTTCTCTATCTCTGAAGTTTTAAACTGAAAGGTGGTATTTTACGTTACCCTTTTCTGAATGACAGCTCTAATATCCGTATCTAATATCCACATGTGCTTTAACTTAATATCTAATATCCACATGTGCTTTAACTTAAACTGATGATGAAGAAGATGAAGAATATCATCTTGCCAAAAGTGCTGTGATGGAATATCCTGATCCAGAACAAATTGTTCTAAAAATGATCCAACCCTGAAATGGATTGTTCCATGATGGAAATATTTGTTAGAACATTTTGTGCCTCCATAGTACTGAAATAACACTCTAATAGGTAAAACTAGAGTCTGAATAGAGTAGAGGCAGGAAAATGCAGTTAATCCTGACCACCTTTTTGCTAGTGATAGTTACTTTATCAATAGGCATTCACAATAATCTTAGTTTCTGAATTTATATAACCAAAACATCTACATACAAAACTTAGTAAAAGTGGAATAACATGCAGAGGTTTAAGTAACAAAACGAGTGGAGAAAAATGAAATCTATGATATGTAGGCTGAAACTATTAGCCCTGAATAATCTTAATGGGTGCACTATACAACTGTTTGTTGGCAGGGGAGGAAAAACAGGCTAAGTGAAATGGAGTGTCTTGAAAGAAGCCAACTGTTGGGCATACATTATCTCATAGTATTTTGTTATGGTCTGCTGGTACAATACGTAGCTCCGTTGGTAGCGCTCCACCATCACGTTCACGCGTTCTGCTGCTCCATTGGTGCTAGGGTGATACGCCAAACTGAGACCCTGAGACGACCCGATGCACCGGATAAACTCCCGCCAGAATTGAGCTGTGAATTGCACTTCCTCCCGCTTGTCTGATTTTTAATATTTGTAATATTTTGTACAGAGTACCTCGAATACTCCTAATTTGTAACTTCTTGTAAATTTGTAAATTCAGAGAAATCTAAATAGATTCTCCCATTCCACCAGGTACACTCCAGTGGGGCGTTCCTTCTTCTCTCCCCCTGAAGGATACTACCACCCGCTGGGAGGAGGCCGAGAGGTCTGGTTTGGCTTCCATCAGTCTGTCAGACCTGCCATGTGGAACATGATGCTCAATATAGATGGTATGGAAGAAATCTGTTTGCTTAAATTATCCTAAATCTCTCCTACGACTCTTTTCTCAGTATTCCGCCTCCTCTGTTCTTTTTTCTTTTTAGTATCGGCAACTGCTTTCTACCGTGCTCAGCCTATTATTGAATTCATGTGCGAGGTCCTGGATATTCAAAACATCAATGAACAAACGAAACCCCTTACGGATTCCCAGCGTGTTAAATTTACCAAAGAAATCAGAGGTAATACCTTAAGATTATAAGTTATCGTGTATGTCAAATTTTGGTAAACAGAAAACTTGATTTCTGAAAATTTTGCAGTATGCTTCCACCCTTAGAAAATTATAAGTTGGGCTGGTTTGGATGGTGTTCAGAGAGAACATTTTTAGCAACTGCTAGAGTCCCTTCATCTCCCAATATCACACATTTAAAAATAAAAAAGACAAGCTTGTGGTTGTACAGATGGATGTTTTGTCATTGTGTGGATATCTCTCTGACATCCCCCGTTTGTCTTTTAGAAAAGCAATATTTTGTTTTTCTTTGCTGCAGAAAATATGAGGGATGGCAATTATAGCTCAAAGCCAGCTCTGTATCTTTTAATTTGTTGGTTTCTAGCCTTGTCAATTTGTTCAATATTCAACAAAATAATTAACAATATTCAACAAACTAAATCAATATTCAATATTCAACAATAAAGTAAAAATTCAGAATATTTTTTTGTCCTTTATTAATGATCACAACCAACCTCTGCTCTGTATTTAATGGACAAGTTGTTCAGACCTCACTACAATGTCAAAATCTGAATTAATTACTTCCCCCAAATTTCTGAGTACAGTATTATGACACATTTCTGTAGTATTTTCAGTGGACAGATCTCTCTTTTTTTTATTTTATGTTATGAGATTCTTCCCCCCCCCATGAGCTTGAGGATGAATAGATTTTGGAAGGAACTGTTTAATTTGGGTTGATTTTTTATTGTATCCACTCTGAGAATTTTAATTTGAACAATCCAGATACAGTGGATTTGCAACACCCAAATAGAAAATAAATGTAGTCATGGAGAGCCCAGTAGTTCGATTTGATCTTTGATCCTTCTCAATGCATCATATTGGCTTTTGCTTATTTGTGTATGTGTGTCTTTGTGTTTCACTGGATTTATAGGTTTAAAAGTGGAGGTTACTCACTGCGGTCAGATGAAAAGAAAATACAGAGTTTGCAATGTTACTAGACGACCTGCAAGCCATCAAACGTATGTATGCCCAAGGCTTTTTTTTTTTTTTTTTTTAAACAATCTTGAAAAGTCTTTGTTCTGCTTCTACTATGGAAAAACATTTTATAAACTGAAGGTCTCACACAACTAAATATTTCATAAGCTACATATTTCAGAATTCTACAAAAATAACAAACTCTCATGCCGTTCAGAATAGGGCCCAAAGAGTGACTTGTGCTTTGGCAGTATGTCAGTGAAGATTATCAGCCATCCAGGTAGAGTTGTTTGGAAGTTGAGTCCTAGCAACTGGACTTCTTTTCTTACTGGCTTGAAACATTTCACTGCTTATCCAAGCAGGCAGACTAAGAAAAGTACTTGGATAAGCAGCGAAACATTTCAGACCAAAAAGAAAAGAAGTCCAGTTCCCAGGACTCAACTTCCAGGTGACTTCTGGTTTCTGTTTGTGTCACTTTGTGATGGAAATTCAGTCCCAATTACCATTGTTAAGGGACGACTCCCTGTATTTCCATAATTAATGTACAACGATGGAGAAAACTTGATATCTGGCAGCCATGCACGCTTCTTCAAATGAGAGAAGCTACACATAAGCCTCCTGATACCACCCCACAGGCATTTAGCAATGAAATGGGACAGGAAGACAGTGCAGAGAGTGGTGAGAATGGCCGAAAAGCTCATTGGAAGTTTCCTCCCTCCCATCCAGGACATAGCACAGAAGCGCTGCTTGAGCAGGGTCCGTAAGATTATCTGGGACACTACACATCCTCTCCACGACCTGTTTTCGTTGTTACCTTCTGGGAGGAGGCTTTGTGGTATCTGAAGCAGAACATCCAGATTCAGCCAGAGTTTCATTCCATACAGCATTAACCTTGCGAACTCTCAAGCTTCCTCCTTCCGTTATATACTCAAGATGGACAATATTTAATATTTATTTGCTACATATATGTAGAGATGTGGGTTTATACATATGTTCATAGTATGTTTAGGTGTGTGTCATGTATGTGTTTCACTTTGAGAGCGGGCAGCTAAATTCCATTTTTGATGTGTGCCATTGTGCCCACAGTATAAAAATGACAATAAAGGTTATCTTATCTTATCTTACGTAGTCCTTCATCTTACATGCGTATTTTAACTATAGCCTCTTTTAATTTTAACTTTCCGTTTGACCAGCATTATGCATTTTTTTTTCTCACGCTGTCCCTATGAATTGAAATTCTAAATCTGATTTTTAAAACTAGGATGCTAAGATCCCTTCGCTGGGGCCTGATAACATATATTTGGAGTACTCCCCTCCTAGTCGTACTACCGATGCATCTCTGATTATTTTCAGTTTTTATTAATTTCAGCAATATGAGTGTCGGGAGAATCATTTTGTTGGTGCGTTTGTTAAATAGTTGAGAATCCCAAATAGTTGTTCATGTTCTGATATCATAGGCAAACCTCTTTCTAGTGAAATGAATATATATTTAATTTATATTTCTGCTTACAGGTTCCCTCTGCAGTTGGAAAATGGGCAAGCTATGGAATGTACAGTAGCTCAGTACTTTAAGCAGAAGTACAGTCTGCAACTGAAATACCCACATCTTCCATGCCTCCAAGTAGGGCAAGAGCAGAAACATACATATCTACCCCTTGAGGTAAACACCTAGGTGGTTCTATTCCTCAGTTCGGTTCTGCTGCATGGGCTTGTTCACCCTGTATCTTTTTCATTCTAGGTGTGTAATATAGTTGCAGGACAGCGCTGTATTAAGAAGCTGACAGACAATCAGACATCAACTATGATCAAAGCAACAGCACGATCTGCACCTGACAGGCAGGAGGAAATTAGCAGACTTGTGAGTAACTGCTTTAATATCATAAAAATAAGATGGAATAAAATGGTGGCTGGAAGATGCTTATCACTATAAGATCTTTCTTTGCATGCACTTTCCAAACCACCTTTTTCCTGGGACCCAAGGTTTATGAGGTTACGACACACCCAGAATGTGGTATAGCCAAGGCATAGAAGACGGGATAATAAACTCCACCCCTCCATCCTTTTGGAACAGTCCACATAATTCACAGATAACTACAATGAAAAATAGCAGCAACTAAGAAACAAAGGCACACAGTGGGCTGCCGATTGAGCTACACTTACTCAAATGAAATATTCACAAGAGCTGTTGTGTCTATATTTAAGAAATGTTCTCTGAATCTCCAGGTCAAGAGTAACAGTATGGTTGGCGGACCTGATCCATATCTGAAGGAGTTTGGTATTGTTGTCCATAATGAAATGACAGAACTGACAGGCAGAGTATTACCTGCACCTATGCTGCAGTATGGAGGTAGGGTAAGTACTTCATAACGTTCACCCAATCTAGATTACACAACAGACCTCACGTAGGGGCTAATGCATACTTTTAACCCTGTAGACTCTTTATTGGCAACTGATTAAAATTTGAGGCTGAAAATGTAATGGGTCATGGAAATACAGTAGGAAGGGTTTGCCTGTGCATTAGTTTATACGCTTGTCAAAGAACAGCAGTTTGTGTTTGATTTTCCTTAGAACAAGACTGTTGCTACACCAAATCAGGGTGTCTGGGATATGAGAGGAAAACAGTTCTATGCTGGCATTGAAATTAAAGTGTGGGCTGTCGCTTGCTTTGCACCTCAGAAACAATGTCGGGAAGATTTGCTGAAGTAAGTAGTTCCTTTTTTTTTATTGAAGAAGACTATGTTGATTTGTTTAAAGTGACGTTTGGAAAGCTTTGAGCGGTGCACCTTTAACAGAGGTTAAATATTGGTATCAACAAGATGATGATACACAAAGCAACTACTTTTCTTCACTTTCTGCTTCCCCCAATCTGATATCCTCAAGACCTGGAATCTTTTTAATTTATTTATTTTTTATTGGATTATGTACATCCTGCCTTCATTATTTTTACAAATGACTCAAGGTGGTGAACACATCCAACACACCTTTCTCCTCCTTTTCCCCACAACAACAACAACAACTGTGAGGTGAGTTGGACTTCAAGAAGATCCAATATCATCTTTGTTATAAGCATAATGCCCAGCCGACATAATTGAAGCCTAATGCAATGGAAAGTAATTAACAATGTTTTAAATTGGGATTATCAATAGAACTTGCTTACTGTAATTAGAAATTTCAGAATGAGAACCTAAAAAGTGCACACGTACCTGGGAAATCACACTAAGATTGCCTTATCCAGTATGAATACTTGCAGCCCAGAGTAATTGGTTGTCCTCATTTTTCTGATATCCAGAGTTATATTAACAGTATTCAAAGAAGTTTAGTCTAACTCTGTGTAGTTGCAAATCTAGCAACTTTAAAATATATGGACTTCAGTTCCCAGAATTCCACAGTCGTGCTGGCTGAGAAATTGTGGGAGTTGAAGTCCGCTCATCTTAAAGTTGCCAAGATTCAAAAACACTGACCTAACTTAATGATTGAGAGATCTGTTTTCTAAGAATCAATCCAATTCTTTTATACAAATCATTTCAGGTAGAATAAAAGGGATAACCTTCACAAAGCTAGGCTTGTGCCAGGACTATCTATGGCTTACTCTGTGTTTCTAGGAGTTTTACTGATCAGCTGCGCAAGATCTCTAAGGACGCGGGGATGCCAATCCAGGGCCAGCCATGCTTCTGTAAATACGCACAAGGGGCAGACAGCGTGGAGCCCATGTTCAAACATTTGAAATTGACTTATGTGGGGCTGCAGCTAATTGTAGTCATTCTTCCAGGAAAGACACCTGTCTATGGTAAGGAAGAGGCCATTTGACCAAATACATAATATAATTAATGAAAGAATGTGCAATTATATTTTGGTGCTTTTCTTTTGTAATCTTTAAAATAAGAATATTTGACTGCCTAAGTCAGGGGTAGGCAACCTTGGCTCTTTTATGACTCGTGGACTTCAACTCCCAGAATTACTGAGCCAGCATGGCTGGCTCAGGAATTCTGGGAGTTGAAGTCCACGAGTCATAAAAGAGCCAAGGTTGCCTATCCCTGGCCTAAGTCATCAGTTCAAGATGCTAGAATGGGATGGGAGTAGGGATCGGATAGAGCATTTAAAAAGTCTTCTGGGTTCTAAAAAGCCAACTTTTTCTTTGCAGCTGAAGTTAAACGAGTCGGGGATACCCTCCTGGGCATGGCCACCCAGTGTGTTCAGGTGAAAAATGTGGTGAAAACATCTCCCCAAACACTGTCCAATCTTTGTCTCAAGATCAACGCAAAACTTGGTGGAATAAACAATGTCCTTGTACCACATCAAAGGTCAGCTTCACCCTCGGGCATCCTTCATAAAAAGCATCTGGCTGAGTTTTATTGAGAAGCAGAACGATGAAAACACTCAAAATGAAAATACTTGCATTGAGAATTTTGTCATTTACTTAATTTAAATTGTCCTAAAGTTTGCTTTAGCTATAGAAATATAACTATAGAAATACAGCTATAGAAACTTGTTACGCATTTAGAACTTGTCTCTAAATAGTTTTTTTTAGTTCACATGTTTACTTCTGCTATAATATCTTGTACTAGATCAGCGGTTCTCAACCTATGGGTCGCGACCCCATTTGGGGACGATCGACCATTTCACGGGGGTCGCCAAGCAAGGCTGTCCGCCATTTTTTCCCCCTTTTCCGGCGGGTGCCTTACCTCCCTTGGGCTGGGCCAGCTGGTGGTCGGCCTGCTCCGTCTCTGCCACTTGCCAGCTACGCCTCGGCCGGCACAGGGGGCAGAACCACGCATGCGCAGCGCTCCCGGGCAGGGAAAGTCCTCGACTTACGACTGGTTGGGGGTCGCAGCATTAAAAAGGTTGAGAACCACTGTACTAGATAGTTGTCCATATACATTGGTCTCCACATTAGAAAGTGGGGCTATATGGGAATCCAGTGTAAGATTTCCATTTGTCCCTATAGTCCTTGAGAGTTTATCTTTCTTTTTGTAATTATTGTTTTATACTAATAAAACAATTTAGATTTCTGGTTGACTGGGCTGACCTGATTTTTTTATTCAAGGAAGGGACAGATAGTCGTTGAATTCTCCTTTTCACCCCAAACCAAAGTAGGGATTAATTGAGGATTAACGTGCAATAGGGAGCCACATAGTGACATCAGGGTATATTTATTGTTTGCCTTCTATGTGTTAACTATTAAAGAGGTAGAATGTTGAATTGTGTACTATAAAAATAAGCACTAAACTTCTCAGCACTAAGGTACAACTGAAAAACATGTAGGAAAAAATAAAACTGATAATTAGAACAGCATAGAACATTTTTTTAAAACATTTTTCTTTTTGCTGGTTCCTAATTAAAAAGCCTTTTTTTTTCTCAATTTCCCAGGCCCTCGGTATTCCAGCAACCCGTTATTTTTCTGGGAGCAGATGTCACTCACCCACCTGCTGGAGATGGGAAGAAACCTTCCATTGCTGCTGTAGTCGGAAGCATGGATGGCCACCCCAGCCGCTACTGCGCTACTGTGCGAGTGCAAACATCCCGCCAAGAGACATCCCAGGAACTGCTGTACAGTCAGGAAGTGATTCAGGACCTGACCAATATGGTGCGAGAACTGCTGATCCAGTTTTACAAGTCCACTCGCTTCAAGCCCACACGGATCATTTACTATAGAGGAGGAGTATCCGAAGGGCAAATGAAACAGGTATTGGTCTAGTACAGAGGCAGGCAACCTTGGCTCTTTGATGACTCGTGGACTTCAACTCCCAGAATTCCTGAGCCAGCATGGCTCAGCATGGAAACCACTCCCTTTCCCCCTCAGCATGGCTGGCTCAGGAATTCTGGGAGTTGAGAGTCCACGGAGTCATCAAAGAGCCAAGGTTGCCTACCCCTGCTTTATCCAAACCAGCTGAACGTTATATGTCAGCGATGCATCCTGATCCTAAATTAAACTAATATCTAATCATTAGCATATAGCACTACGTACACAAGCAGTTTTCTGAATGTACTTGTCCACTTCCTTCATGACAAGTTTGCAAAGTCATATTTTACTCTGAAAGTTATCACGAGCTTACTTGATATATTCAGCATCCAGAACTTGGCTTGGATTCACACCTAGTCTTACTTAATAGTACAGCGGCTTCAGTGAGACTTCGTGAGTTGCCTTGCGTAGCCCAGATCAGCAGCTGATTTCAACTTTTAACACTTCCTAGGTAGCTTGGCCTGAGCTTATTGCGATCCGGAAGGCCTGCATCAGTTTAGAAGAAGACTACCGACCAGGAATCACCTACATTGTCGTGCAGAAAAGGCATCACACGAGACTCTTTTGTGCAGACAAAACTGAACGGGTAGGTGACTACAGAGGGAATGAAAACTCATCCTGTTCAATTCTGCAGCTTTCAGGAGATGCCAAATGGCTTTCCTTAGAAAAGTGCCCGGGTGGGGCAAGGGCGGGGCGAATGAATTTTTATATGGCTGGATACTGATGGGGAATCCTTTGGTGGTGGTGGGGAACAACTTTATACATTTTGCACCAATAAAAAGTATAATAACTCAACGTTGATTCTAAATGGTCAGATGTAACCCGGCCACAAGAAGGTAAAGTCTAGCTGAAAACTTTGAGGAGGCATATTGGTAGTCATCCCTCAGCACTCTAATGATCCCCAAGAGAATGAAATGTGCGGGATCCAGGTAAGTCAGGTCCATCTCGTTTCCTCCTGCTTATTATTGGAGAACTTTCAGTTCAGCGTATTTCAAGTTTGACACTCCGCTTCAAGTTGCAAGAGCTGTTCCAACCGTAAGCTAAAATATTTTAAATTTAAAAATATTTTGTGCCTTTCTTTCTGACAAGCCGCACATGCTTCTCCTTGCTGCCCATTTCTTTCCCTAAATTTCAAAATGGCTACTGTAGGGCGATTGCACTTGGATAATGTGAAAATTTGCTCCGTTGGATGTTGCCTTATGTTTATCTGAGCCTAGTTGACCTCAGGCAAAGCTGAAGAGTTTCATCTTCAGAGGAAACTCTTAAGTTGCTTGTTGAGTCTTGATCCTTAATCTTTAGTAGCAGGGTGTAGTGGTAAGGTTCAAGTGTGCTGCACAGATTGATTTGTTTACTCAGTCAAACAAAAATATAATGATGAATTCTGCTTGTTTTGTTGACATGGATGCTGTTTATTAAGCATGACGGCTGTGTTGTCTACAACAGGTGGGGAAAAGTGGAAATGTTCCGGCAGGTACTACCGTGGATAGCACCATCACCCACCCATCTGAATTTGACTTTTACCTCTGTAGCCATGCAGGAATCCAGGTAATCATAATACAGACGGCAGTTACTCTGTAGCATTTCGTGGCTCGTGCACGGGTGAAACCGGCTTTGTGTAAATGAAAGGTTAACCTCGATATTAAAATGTGCATAGAACAATACGGCCTTAAGCAGATGTAGTTTGGCCCTGAAAAGTCAATGAGGCATTTTATTCTGCACTAGCTGTACCCGGCCACGCGTTGCTGTGGCTCAGCCTGGTAAAAGCGTGTGTTGCTTTTACGTCCAACAGATGGCGCTGTTTTTCAAAAAAAGCATGTTTTTACCTGTCACAGGTGTGACATCTATATAATAGTAGGTATATAAAAACACGCGCGTATTCGAATGCAACGTTGTGTCAAAATTTCAAAGCAATCGGTGAAGGACTTTTGGAGATTTAAGATTTTGAACAAACGAACATTTACATTTTTATTTATATAGATTAATTAATGAACAGCCTTCACCCCCTAGGTTGAAGAAGCCGCTCTTTTGTTCCTCTTGCACAGAAACTCTGTAACTTGGGGGAAAAAACAGAGGATCTTCCTGGAAAAGAAAAGAAGAAGGGTCTTTGTTCTGAAGCTGCTGCCTGCCTCATGTGCAGTTTGTCTGCCTTTACAGAATTTCAGTGGTGGATTGACTAGCTTTCTCCTATTTCAGGGAACCAGCCGTCCTTCTCACTATCAAGTCTTGTGGGATGACAACTGTTTCACCGCGGATGAATTGCAGCTACTGACATACCAGCTGTGTCACACTTACGTGCGATGCACGCGGTCTGTCTCAATCCCTGCGCCTGCATATTACGCTCGGCTAGTGGCATTCAGAGCAAGATACCATCTGGTAGACAAAGACCACGACAGGTGAGCAAACGTTGGAGAAGAACCTTCAGGGTTTAGTGTACTCTGAATCTAAGATTGCATTTGGGTAAGTGGTAAATCGTATGCAGGTCTGCCCTTCCCTTCTGGATTTGATCTAAAGGCAAAGCTCCTTCCCTTGTAACAATTTGAATTTCAGAGGGAAGTTAAACATTTTCGGTGGCATTAGTTGCTGGTTGATGCACAGGCAGTATTTTATTGAACAACTTGCAACATTCCTGCCTCTTAATTATGGATTCCATTTAATGTGGCAGTACGTTGGCTAGAAAAATTGGACAATGTATCTATCAACATAATCAACTACAAACAGACCTTGAAGTGGCAATAGCGAAGCCTGTTAGTTAGTTTTGCTAAGCCATTATGCTGAACTAATTCAAACTTCTACTCTCCCAATGTTTTGGATATTTCAGAAGAAGCTGTAGTTTAGAGATTATATGCCTGCATCACATGTAAGAGGTAGGGTTCATTTTTAACCTGGTTTATACAGGTAGTCCTTGACTTAGGACCATAATGGAGTCTGCCCATCACGATCGCAAGTCGTGACAGCTGTAAAATGGTCACTCATGTCACCAATTTTACAGCCGTTTTTGTGGCAGTCACTAAAGGGGTTGGTTTTTGGGGTTTTTTTTGCCAAAAAGGAAGGTAAATGCTTGTTTTTAACAAAACTAGTAAAACATGACCATGGGATGCTATATATGGCCTAGTTGCCAAGTACTCCAAATTCACGTGACTGGGGGCGGCCATCGGAACTTCGAATCTGGGTCATAAGTAGCCCCAAGATAGTTCTGTTTTAACTTCAAACAGTCATCAGTCAGGGACTACCAGTATATTGTAACATGAATAGAAGCTATAGAAGTGGCTTTTCACACGGAAACAGTGGCAACTGCAAAGGGTGGAGAGTGATTGAGGAGCGTAGCCTGTCTCTGGGTTGGGATCATGTGTTAAATCCTTCTAACTTCTTTTTCAGTGCTGAAGGCAGCCACGTGTCAGGACAGAGCAATGGCCGTGACCCTCAAGCACTAGCCAAGGCAGTGCAAATCCACCACGACACCCAGCACACTATGTATTTTGCCTGATAGGACTCTGCAGCCACGTGGCAGGAGTGGCCTAGTTGGTCAGGCCACCAACCATCCGTAGTCAGGGCTCGTTTTTAACGCAGGCTGCCCTCCACCAGCAGCTTGGGACAGTTGCACTGAATTGATTCCTGCAGCCAACATCTTGTGCAGGCACAATTGAGCCATTTTTATTTTATTCCCTTCCGTAAACAGAAATTTCATAAACGGTCTTTGCATTGAACTGAATTTTTACCTCAAAATGCAAAAGGCTGATCCTCTTAAAAAACAATTTTTTTAAAGGACTTGGCACGAAAGGTTTTTATTGAAATATTTTGCTAATCAGTTAATCAATTTACGTTACCTCTTCATCCCATGTTAAGCTTGTCAAGAAGATTAATTCCTTCTGGGCTTTGATATATGGCTTAGTGAGTCTCCAGATACGGCAAAACAGGATTCCGCTGTTTTTTCTGTCTGGGGCCATATAGACTTGATCAATGAATTTTTGGTGTAAGACACCCTTCCACAAACATGAATTTTCAGAGGTATGGCTGTTCCTTTGGTTCTGTTTTTTTAATTTTTCGCTTTGTCAAATTTTGCTAGTTCCCTTTTTGTAAATCTCTGCAGTCCTGGGCTGCAAAGCAATTGCACTATAACTGCGAATTCAGCTTGGTGGTACTTCTGTGAATGCGTAATGTTAGCAGAGAAAAACCCTCTTTGGCAGCTCTAATACAATTATAATTATTATTATGGTTACAACTGCCATCTTTTGATTCAAAATGCTGAACTGCTTCCCCTTCTAAAAATAGGTAACCAGGTTCTAAACAATTAGTTTTAGTATTTTTCAAACATCACAAAAAGTGCCCATTTTATGCTGCTATGTTTGACAAATTGAAGTCATTTTTAATACTCTTTTTCATAGAAGGTTTTAACTTTGGCAATAATTTTTTTTAAATAACCTGGCAGTAGCTTTTCTAGTCAGAATCCATTCTTGGGTAGATTGACTTATCTTTGCTGAAGAAAAAAAATATTAATTACTAAAAATGGATCAGAAGAGGCTCCCTTCATGCTTTTTACAAATGATTATTTTTAACTGTTTTATAGTCACCATTGGTCTGTCTACCCCTTTTTATAAGCTTGGAAAGTGGGTGTTGTGTATCGGAAAAAGGCTTTGCCAATTTGTACAGTTGTGTATAGTGTGACAGTAGCAATCAAAGACTTTTACCAGCAATTTAAATCCTGTTTCCTTTGATGATTTAGGTTTCTTGCATGTACAGCGACACTCAGTAGCATGTGTGAAGTGTGAAGTGTAATGTTGATCTTGAACCTTTCCTATTAGGATTCTTATTTTGCTCGATTCTCTTCCACTGAAAACGTGTTAATACCAAAATTAGGATGGGAGGGGGTTGTGCAGACAATAATAGTGTTGTGTTGAGACTAGCTTGTGAGTGTTAGCACACAATGCTTTAAATTACTAGTTTTTGACTTTGAGTTGATATGGCCAGCACTGTGGAAGACTGGGATTTGGCCAATAACTGCACTCTGGTCTTTTAATGGAAGGGTGGTGTCACAGAGTCATGTGACCTTGTGAGTTTTCAAATCCGGACTTACAAGTTGACAATATGATAACGCCATTTAGATCAGGGGTGTCAAAACTGCCGGCCCGCAGGCCGGATGCATCATAGCGAAACCGCGCCCGCCCCATTGCCGGCAATGGCAAAAAAAAAAAAGTCGCGATCCGTCGCGGCACACGTCACGTGACGTTGCGAGTTTGACACCCCTGATTTAGATTGTCCTCCAGTCGGTTGAAATAGAGCTTCTAGTAACTTGGAAAATACAACATTTCCAAGAACATTATTCAGTTGTGTCAGAGGACACGGAAGTTAAGTCTTCAAAAAAAAAAAAAGTTTTATATGCTTCTTCCAGAGCTGTGTGTGTGTGTGTGTGTGTGTGTGTAGGAAAGGGCATATGCAGTGTTCGTCCCCATTCAGAAAAAGAAGTGAAGCATCTTAGTTCTGACATCCAGAACTTAGATATTAGATTGCTTAAGTATAGGTAAGGGTTTTTTGTTTCCCCCCCTTGAGAATACCTCACTTGGATAATCAAGATCAGGACACACACGGAGGGAGAGTGGCCACTGCTTTAGTTTGTCTGCTGCTTTTCTTTTCTTTTAATGTTCAGGGAGAAAATGCAAGAATTTTAACTCCTGCTGACCCAAACAAACGGAGACCTGAGGCACCTTGACAAGAATTTAAGCACCTGTTTTAGTGTGTAGCATTTTTTTATTGCACTAGGTAAGGACACGGTTTGAGAGAAAGAGAGAGAGAGTAAGAAAATTGGATATCTACACCACCAGGGTACACCGGTAGCTGCCCTGGCACCTACTACAGGTGGAGAAAAGGGATATATGTACCCACCTGTCTACAGGTGAGATCTTCTTCCAAATCCCAGCCAGGCAACATGGGGAAAAAAAAAGGCTTTCCAAAAAGTTTGTATACCTTCAGCAGCAAAGGCTGGTTTTTTTGCTCCCACGTCCAGATCAAAATTGGGAAGTAGGGCTAAAGGAGGACTTAAAGCTCTTATCCTATCCTTTGCCACAAAAGCAGATTTTGGGGAACGAGGCGGGATTCCCCCTCACCACCCAAATAATAACAAAAAAGAGCGATTGGATGAAAACGTGCGTTTTAAAGGGCTGAGTTAATCTTAGTTGTATTAATCTCTGAAAACAGTTAATCTCTGAAAACTGAAAGCTTAACGGATCTGGGAAGTTTCCTGATTGGCTTGTTAGGAAATAAGGCTGAATAAGCTATATGAAATGGTGTTTGTTTTTTTTAAAAAAATTTGTATATCATAGGAAAAAAAAAGAAGGGTTTTGATCATATTGTTCTTGTGTACTACAGCCCACAACCCATAGTGGTCTTTTGAAGTCGTCTGTATTTCAGAGTGATACCGAAGCAGGATTCTTTTTTTTTACTGAATTATTATCAATGAATTTTATCATCCCAAAAATGTTGATGAGAAAACTTTCTTGCCAACTTTTGCACTTTCTTGGAATTTTTCATGATTTCCCCCCCCCCCTTCTTCCTTCTTATCTCTGTTGAAAATTTTCCTGTGCAAAAAAAAAATAATGTTCAGTCATCTCTTAGTTGCTGAACGGTCCATTGATGTCATTTGGGTATGTTTCAGATGTGAAAAAATTCTGTCAAAGCAGGTAAAGGTCTTCAAACTAATAAAGGGGAAGGTCTTGTTGATCTCTGGGAGACCTTTTTGACTCATTGGGACTGCTGCTTCCCCCGGGGATGAACTGAATGGTTATGCATGTGTCAATCAATGGGAAGATGTGCATTTTCTAGCTATAGTTCTTAAGGTTTTCGGGTTTAGTTTGGTTGGGGTTTTTAAATGTTGTTTCCTTTCAACCAGTCTTCTCCAACTACGTCGTCCTTTGGTTGTTTTGGGCTACAACTTCTAGAATTTCAACTTGGTTGGAGACTCTTGGTTTATATTAAGCCTGCTGGCTCCTTTTTTTTTTTTTTTGCTGTTATGTCATGGAAGGTTTTCAAATGTAGCAAATTTGAACTGTGGGCTGGAGGGGAGTGGGCTAAATTGATTGGGCTGTAGTTCTTGGTGTTTATAATCAAGTGTGGTTCCTTCTGTAAGTCTTCTGCCTTTTTATTTTATTATTTTTTTTTGAGCACTTTCATTCCAAAGAGGCTCTAAAAAGGTTTTGCTCTGTAACAGAGAGTCTTGCTTACTTCTGTGACTTTGGGGCATTTGAAGAAAGGCACCCCAGGAGACGTCAAAATCAGACGCAGAAGATGTTCCGTGTTTCTAGGATCCAGGGAAGCCATTTCCCCCCCCCCCTCCTACAGCCCTAATATCAAGAATCTTTGTGTGACGAGAGGACGACAGGCCACCGACCTCCAATCAGTTCTTCCCGTTCCCGCCAAGAAAAACTACCTTTGTTGATAATGCTGTGGGTCCTTTCCCCCCTTCTTGCTCGACAGCAAGGCAGTTCCTCTGTTTTCATTTTCGTAAAACAGAGTCCCGAGGGCATTGTATCAATACTGCTTCAACTGCAAGGTTTTTTCCCTTGTTCAAATTGAGGAAAGATCATAACGTGAATATATCACTGAAGAGTTTCTTTATACCTTGCTATGGACACTTTCGTGATATTTCTATGTCTAGAGAGCCTGGACTTTGTACGTAAAACTTGTTGGCCTACGTTCATTTTCGACCTCCGATGTATTTTTTTCTTTCTTTCTTTCTTTCTTTCTTTTTTTGGGTTCGTTTGTTTCTCTATTGTTAGACTTGTAATGTTACAAACTGTATTTTATTAAATTGGACTGGATGTATGTCTATAGCAATACGAGGTACTTTTTCTTTAAAAGAAACTCTGGGGTGGGTAGGTTAACAGTACTTCCCTCCCCCATTGCGATATGCTGGCTGTGTATAATTGCAATGTATTTTTTGTTTTTGTTTTTGTTTTCATTTTTTAGCCTGCAGGGATTTTGTGTTCATGTGTCCAAAAAAATAAAGGCATTTGTTGCCAAATGTTTTTTCTTCGGTGTGCAATAAAAAAAAAAAGCTTGTCTTTTATTTTTATTCCGAAACCAGTGTGCTACTGATAAGATTCATGATAGAAACAAGTGGCATGAAAATGGAATTTTAAATAATATTATTCGGATGCCTTCTGGCTGTAAAATAATGATTGAGAAGTTGTAATTTAGAATATTTAAGAACCAAGGGACGTATTGGGTAAGAAGCAAAGAATGTTGCTAAATATAAAGTAAACATACTTATGGCAGAAACCTTGACTTTGATGGCCTTTGAATCAATGATAACCTAAGGAGATAATTGTTTTGTTATGGCTAACCTCAGCTATGTGACCTTGGCAGTCAAAGTAAATTCTAAGCAGAATTTACTTAGAAAGGCAATTGCAATAACCAGCATACTAATCCCTTTTCTTAGTTCATGAAGCGCATGTACACAATTCTAATTGTCCCATGTTCAACTGGAAAGTAAATTTATTTTGTATTTTATTTTACATTCGCATATTACATCTCTCCAGAGGAGAAAATTTACCTTAGGCAAGATAGGGTCAAGAGAAACCTTAGAATTGCAGATAAAAACGAGTAAGAACTAAAATATATAATAACATCAACAGAAATAGTCAACCAGTCTGATGGCGAAGGGAGGGAGTACCGTGGTCTTTTAAGTGTGCTTAAAAATATTCTTTTGCCCCTCCCTTTAGTAATACCGGTATTAAGTTTTAAACTAATCATAATGAGAAATTGCAGTAGCTTGATAGCACACAAAATGAAATCCTGCTTTATTCAATGCAAAATTATATATAGTACCATATTCTCACCCAACTTGGTTTTTTCCAGCCAAGATTTATTTGTGACTGACTACACCTGTTGGTTTTTACCTACACATTTACGCTATGTAATCTTAATTCAAAGATTACAAAAAGTCAGGATGACAGTTGATGTATGTTCAAAGTCCTGTCGTTTTTAAATGTGACTTAAAGCATATAGAACAGAGCAGGGTTTCAGTGGCCACGTGACTTTTTTTGC